GCTCCCCGCCGAGTCACGCCAGGCCCTTCTTCCCTTGCAGTGGAGTGGCGGCTCTTCAGCCTGCGGCTGCTCTCGGAGACCACGTCCCTGCTGGTGGACCTGGCGGCTGAGGATGGGGAGGAGGAGGCCGTGGCCAGCGGTGAGCACGACCTCCTGGCGCTGGTGCGTGACGTCCTGCTGCCAGGGTGAGTGCGGGGCCTGGCGTGGAGGGCGGTGCTCCAGGCCTCCGTGTCAGAGCTGGGATGACAGGGTTCCCGCGGCGAGGCGTGCAGATGAGAGCCCGGGCCGCTCCTCCAGCTCCCGGACTCTCCAGTTCCCCAGGGAGGAGGGCGTGCTGGGTGACGGCGAGGGATTGTTTTCCGTTTTACGCCTTTGCTCGCGTGGCAGGCTGCAGGATGACCTCGGAGAGTGCCCAGTGGAAATGCGGGGACTCCCGAATGCACCCCAGGGTGGAGGGCACGACTTTTCAGAGTAAGCTATCGAGTGCGCCGTCCCCATGAGAGGAAGGCCCTCAGAAGGGCTTCCGGATCGCGTGCTCTGCTCAGTACGCATGCCTGGCGCTGCTGCCCTCAAGCCTGGGCTGCAGGGTGGGTCCGGGGCAGGTTTTCAGGGGCGGCTGCCTTGCATGTCCTGCATTCTGTTTTTATCTCCTGGAGATCTGTTCTTGGTTTTAAGAGTTAACGATCACAAGACGTATACCTATCGATACAGCTTCTTTCAAATTTTGGCCAGTGTTACGAGTTCAAATGACGAAACATAAAATTAGGTCCACACGTAAAAGCCACACAAATGGCTGCGCCTCCTGTGGCAGGGAGTGTAGTGCCCTGGAGTGGGCAGGTGGATGGGGCCACCTCTTCTCTTTTGTTTTCTCCCTGCTCTTATGCAGTTGGGTTCTGTGAGATCCCTGTTATAAATATGAGCAGCAAGGATACTTCTGATATTTAAAGGGAGAAAATGATTGTATGCAAAGAAATTTAAGCTTTGTCATGAGGGACTTTCGTAGTGACAAACTATCAATATAATTTCGTTTGTGTTTGTGTTATATGAGTGTGTGTATGCTTTGTACTTCTGTTGGTTAAATAAAAGATTTCAGCTTTTCTAGTGGGATTAATAATTTCAGTCCCATTGTACACTTCTAGAACTATTCATGCATAGTCGTGCATCTGTAGAGCCCCCTTTTTTCATTAAAGGCCACTGTTATGGTGTGTATCTAGATGTCCCCCAGAGTCTCATGTGCTCGAAGGTGGGGCTTTTGGGAGGCAGCTGGATCATGGGTGTATGAAAACCTATTGAGTTATCACATTATCCACATCTCTGGGCATGGATAATGGTAGCTCCAGCCTGGATGTGGGTGGCACCAATCAGGCTTATAAGCTGGATATGCTGTAGAGAGACAGGAGGAAGGCAGACTGCTGCTGCTGCTGCTGCTTGCCTGCCACACCATGGACTGTTTCTCTGCTGCCATGCCTTTCTGCCATGCCACCCTTCCTTGCGGTTAGCTGACTGTAGACTAAACCTCTACAAACTGTGAGCTGAAAGAAACCTTTCCTTCTTTAAGTTGTGGGTATTGGGTATTTTGTCCGAGCAACGAGAAAGTAACTAAGACAGTCACATTCACAGGCTGTCAGGGTTAGGGTGTAGACATATATTTTGGGGTGATTATATAACCTACTGTGTACTTGTAAGACCATGGTACCCATATCTGTCTCATGTTTCGTGTCCTTACCGTGTGTAGAGTTTCACTTGCAGCCTCTTTCAGCCAGGTCTTTCTGACATCCTCCTTTGTCTCCGGCCTGGGGAACACTCGGCTTACCCATGTAGCTGACATTAGCGATTCTAGCCCTGGTCTTGTGGCTCATAGGTTTGGGTTCAGAGGTTGGCCCTGCTCTGAACCAAGTATGGGTGCCCTCATGTTCTCCTTCTCCTTATCCCTTCTTTCTGTTTTTCTTCCCTCTGTTAGGATAGTTGGAATGCCAGTACTGTAACTGAGTTTATCTGTATAATTAATGAGAAAAGGTTTCTTCTCTTCTGGGAAGAAAGATATCATTCATCTTCAGAAAATTACCATGGGTTTTTTTCAGCTGAGAGGCCAGATTTAATTTGAAAGATTTGTGCAGAAAGGAAGAGGCAGTATTTAATGGAACTGAAACCCAAATTGACTTTAGTAATTAACATCAGCCCCTCTCAGAAGTTTAATATCAAAGTCATTATCAGTGAAATCTTGGTACTGAAAGTAATCTTATACTGATTATCTGAACATTTTGCCTGCTAAGAGTTGTATGAGGTGAGGCCATTTCTTGCTCAGGATTTAACTGTGACTGGGACTAGATCCTTCTCAGGAAATGCTGCTGCTGTTCTGGGGAGGGACATTTTAATATCCACATGAATGGAAGCGCAGGTGGTCCCCAATGTCCATGGGACTTGGGACTCGGACTTAACAGTAGTGAAAGCAGTGTGCGCTCCAGTGAAACCACATTTGGAGTTTTGAGATTCCAGCCTTTCCTGGACTGGAATAGGTGGATGATCCTCTCTTGGGCTGCTGCCTGGCAGCAGAAAACTACAGCTCCCAGTTGCCCCTGGGTCAGAAGAGAACAGCTGAACAGCACTGCCTCTCTGCCCCTCAGCAAGCATGCTTCCAGGTGGGGCCAAGTAGCGATCACATAAACATGTGGGTGACATCGGTTTGTCCTGGGTCCTGAGGGGAAGGAACAGGAGACCAGAGTGAGGGAAGCAGAACAGTGGTGGAGAGCATCAGGGGGAAGGATTACCGCGTTTTAGGTGGGGCTATCTGGAGGTGGTGAGTGACCTACCATGGTGTGCGAAAACCTGTTGGCCTTTGCTCCACTGGAAGCATTTTTTGGTACCGGGGCTTGAACTCAGGTCTGGGCGCCTGTGAGGCAGGTGGCAGAACCACTGAGCTAAATCCTGACCTTAGACTGGAAGCATATTGTGAATGTGCATTTTGGTTTCATACTTTCTTTTAGCTTTGAGAGTTTCATATTGAAAAGAGATCATAGTGATATGAATGTGCTCGCGATATCTTCATGACATTTCAGCATTCAGCATTTCTCTCCTGGGGAATGTGAGCACACTTTCTTTTATAACTCTCTTGTGACCTGTAAAATCATCGAGGCCATAATGACTCCATCAGTTATTAAGGTTTGCTTTCTAGAAGCTGAGAAATCAGCGTCATGCTTCCTTTTAAAATTGGAGTTTGTAGATGGGTTCTGCTAGTGGCAGTGCACTGTAAGTTGTATCGCTGTCTGGGGAACAGCGTCTGCAAGGCTGTCTGCTCTTGTGGACCAA